ATGCTGTGGAGCTAGATCTCCATGGTAACTGATGCTGTGGAGTTAGATCTCCATGGTAACTGATGCTGTGGCGCCAACCTGGTCGGGAGAAGGTTATGTTCAGAGTTTCGGATTTAAATCGGCTGCACGAAGTGTCTCCCTTTAACTAAATAGTTTCCTGACTATTATTTACAAGCGATACAGATTCCCAGCTGAGGGAATGTGTTTTATCTGCAAACATGCTGAGTTGTGCGTTACTAATATCACTGAATGAAGCCATGTAGTTACAGTATCACAAACTGTTAATATCATGTTGCCATGGGAACCTACATGCATGTAGTTGATGCAGAAATCACATAAATATGTTTTTATGTTTGGCTCTGATTTGCTGCCAAGTCCGTTTCCACTGCTGGTACTGTAGCTGATAGAAAATGAATTATTCTGCTGGTATTTATTACAGAGAATATTCAATCAATAACATTAATTTCGCTTTGATTTGACCAAAAACTAAAGTGATATCCTGCATTATGGGACAGTGTCAGACCTAAATGCACTTCAAAACAAGATCAGGTTTAAATATATGAAGTTTAAAGTTTAACTTTAACGTGCAGCTGTCAGTTAGAAATAAGCAGCTGCATCGGTAAAATATTATATTAAAAGTTTTCTACCAGTATTTTCTGTCTGCAAGGGGGGGGGGGGATGTGGCAAAGTAAAGGGAAATCCTGGAGGACATCCTGATTCAGTCTGCCAGAGAACTGTGGCTGGGGAGATGTATTTTCCAGCAAGACAATGACCCGAAGCACACAGCTGAAGCTACACAGAAATGGTTTAAAAACACACACACATTGAAAAGTAATAAAATTAATAAACTTCCAAGAGGAGTGAATAATTTTAAAGGCAATTTAGCATTTGTTTACATTTGTTTTCATATTTCACATCTGGATGATGTTTTGTCTTACAGAAAGGAACTACAACAGGCCTTGTGCCGCTACAGCACAGATACCNTATGGTAAGGAGTGTAAATGTTCAAGAGCGCATTGTCCACTTGTTTGGGATTGAAATGTCTTTATTTGTGATGAACCCGAGAATCCAAGGTTGTGGAAGAAGATAAAGGGACAGGCTGCACAGCCTCCTACCAGACTGTAGCAGGAACTAGGCTGAAGCAGGGCGTTTCCTAGGCTCTGAGCCTGGATCTGTAGCTCGCCATCCAATTAGTCCAAGTTAAAGCACCTGGCCTGAATGGAACAAACAAAGTTCAGAACAGTTCTTGAAACTGAGCGCTGCCGTTAAACTAACGTTAGCATCTTCATGGCATTAGCATGGACATGGTACATCACTGAATATGCATGAATTCAGACATTTGTTCAACATTAGCATGTTAGCATGCTAGCATGCTAATGAGTAGCATGTCAGCAATTTGATATTAATTATAACAAAACAAAAGGCATGATAAAGGCATTCAAGCACATGTTAGCATTAGCCATGTGTTAGCATGTGGCTAATGCTAACAGGCTAACAATTAAACAACCAAAAGAAACTCAATCAAGACCAACCAAAATCAACAAAACAATGTTACACACTCACCAGTTCAGCAGGACTCTGGCACATAATGACAAGGCCCCCAGCACAACTCACTATCAGGTCTAAAAAAGGTGCAAAGAAAATAGCTTAGCACCAAACAACCACCGATGATGCATAGGATAAAATGCTTGCAAAGCACCAACCTGTAACAGCTGTCCCTTGGCTCCTCTCCACATGACTGAAGGGGAGAAGCAATTGGGGCTATGCCATTGGCTGATTGGCAAGGCATGTGACACGGTGCATTCAAATGCAAGAGAGAGTGCATGGAAAACCATCACCAGAGTTACCCCTGGTTACACACACACACACACAGATCTGCCCCTGTTCTACTCATAGGATTTATCTCCCTGTGACTTCTTCCTCCTCCTCCTCCTCCTCCTCCTCAAAATAAAACTGAAGCTGAAGTGTTGGCATTTTGTGACAGTTTAGGAGAGTCAGCTCTTGTGCTTGACATGCTTGCATGATTGGACGTCCAGGAAATGTTACAAGTGTTGCAGGAGCACTGGGAGCAGAGCAGCACTACATAAGAAGACCAGTGTTTTTTTTTTGTTTTATGAACTTTTTTTTTTTTTTTTCTTTATCATTTTACTCTGCTGGTGGAGGTGGTCATAAAGTTTTCACCTCCATTAGGAAAATAACATTTCAGTGACACCATTCTCAATGTGTAACTGGAAGATAATTCTGGCTTCTATTTTGCAAGGCACAAGTTTTCAATTACATCTGCCATCAAGGAGTTAAAACAGGCACTCAGTATTTTATGTATCACTTAAGAAGTCATTACATTAATTTATTTTAAATTTCCGTTGGGTACATTTGAAATATATTGGATTCAATTTAAGTGAGAGAACAGCTCCAGAATTTTTAAAGATGTGCTAATTGGTTGAAGTTAGTCCACATTGACTTCTGATGCACTGATGGATATGAGGTTTATATTGACATGTGAATTTGCAATTGTAAAAGCAACAATATGACTGTTCCAAGTAAAAGTCACGCAAAAAACACAAGTATCTGTCATGACACCCCAGTCTTGGCCTTCTCCCCCTCTGTCTCTCCAGTCCTGCATGCAGCCTGCTTCATTGCCGGTATCGGAGTCAGCTGTGGGGATCGGCTCACCTGCTCACATTCACCTCATTCCCATAAAAGCCCGGTTTATTCTACCACTCTCTGGCAGACCATCGACCATGCAACCCAGTTTCTCTGCTGGTCCCTGACCCGTCTCTAGCCTGCATTCCCCGAGCCAGCCCGCCCCTTTAGTTTAGTTACCAGCCCTGTGAATATCCCCCTTTCGCTTAGATATGTCATCTTAGGGTTTCTTTTGTCCCCCCTCTGTTGTTAGTTTCGAGTATTTCCTGGTTTTGTAGTTTTGCTCATATTTTTGAATTAGGTTTGGTGGTTCTCAGTTCTGTCTCTCCTCCCTGCTTGTGTTTGTATTCCCCCACTTAGATCAGTCTGCCCTCTTGCTTGTTTAGATAAGATTTATCATTGAGTGTGAATTTGTTAGATTGTCTGTGTAGTTATCTTTTCCACTTATTTATTCCTCCCTGCTTGTATCATTTAGTTTCTGCATTTTGTAATAAACTTGTTCTGAACCAGTCTCTGCCTGTCCTGCGTCTGCACCTGGGTTCTCCGACCCTCCTGAACAACATCAGCATCAATAAACAAAGTGCGTTATATGGCTACTGATGCATTTGAGTAGGCCCTCAAATCATATTGCATAATAACACATTGTAATTTATTTTTTTAGTGTGTTTTTTTGTAATTTGAATCTTAAAAGTAAGTAGAGCAAAAAGGATAACGTGAAATCATAGAGCAGATGTGTAAAATATCTCATAGCTGTACTTGACTAAATGTAGCTGGTTACTGTGCTGCTGTTTTGCTGTGACGTTGCATGAGAGGACTCACCACGTCAGCAGCGTTTCCACCCTGATCCCCGGCTGACTGAGTCGAGTTCAGCTGAGTGACTGTTTTGACATAAATGTCGCCGACACACAAGTACACAGAAACACACACACAGGCCTTCGTCTAGCTTCATGCATCCTGCAGCTGCTTCACATGAACGGCAGCTTCAGAGTCTGCAGGTGTTTGTTCAAAAGTCTCAGTATAAAACTCTGCTGGTCTGAATTTCTGCTGCGCTGCTCGACCTGGAACACACATTTCTCAATCCTGCATGTGTGTTAAAGCACAATAGTATAACACAGAGTGGAACCAGCCAACACTTTCAGCAGAGAAAAGTTGAAGCCCAATCTGCTGCTCTGCTCAGCTTTACAGAGCTGGAAATATAATTAAAATAGTAAATTACTGTAAATCTATCATAGAATGTGAAGTTACAGTAAAATACTGGTGGTTACAGCTGCCAGTTCACATCTGTTTCAGACTTTTCACATTTTTACTGTTATTATTGTAATTTACTGAAAGACTTAATTACTGTATAACTGATTATTGTGTTCTGCAGTAGAATGAGGTTTAGGATTTTCCAGTAATACTGTATTTATATAGCGTCGTCACTATAAATGACAAAGATCACAGGATGGGGGTGTTTCTGTAACTTCCTCTACAGGCTGAAGGCTGCTGGAAACATTTGTTTTCTTGCCTCTTCAACCTGCTGCAGTGTTTGGTAGAAGCTTGTGTGGCATCTGGGAGATTTTCAGGAAAACATTAATATTGTAAGATACAGTTTAAGAGTGTAACTACACTCTCCAGTAGCGCTATATTTATATAGAGTTGTCACTGTAAACTACAAACTGTACATTACAGACAGAGTCATAGAAAAAATGATTATACCACCCTTGTTTTCTTCAATTTCTTGCTCATTTTAATGACTGGTACAGCTAACGGTACAATTGTTTGGACAAATATAATGACAAAGAAAATAGCTCATAAGAGTTTCATTTAAGAGCTGATATCTAGCCCTTTTCCATGGTTTTCTTGAGAATAACCAAAATCCATTAAGTTCTTACATCAATAGCAATGGCATTGGACTGCCAAAAACAGTGCTTTTAGGCATTCCATGTTTTCTTTTCTGTCTGTTTTAGTCACATGATACACACAGGAGTACTTGATGGCACAACCACTGTTTTTGATGACTGCAGCCATGCGTCTTGGCATGCTCTCCACCAGCTTCTGACATTGTTCTGCTGTCACAGCAGCCCATTTCTGTTGCACAAATTCAAACAAATTTGCTTTGTTTTGGGGCTTGTGGTTCTTCATTTTGCAACTGATGATTTTCCACAGGTTTTCAATTAGATCAGATCTGGTGATTAAGCAGGCCAAGGCATGGTTCAAATGTTCTGGTTCTCCATCCAGGCTTTAACTGACCGTGCCGTGTGGTAAGGGGCTTGTCTTGTTGGAAGATCCAGTCATTCGAGGCAGGAAAGAGTTCTCCAGCTGATGGAGGAAGACTGTTCTCTCTCTCGGGTGACTGCCGGCGTAGTCTCCGGTCAGAATCCGTTTTGGTGTAGTATGTCCAAATCACATCCAAGCACTGCAATTTTAGCGACGTTCATTGCCTTGATGTTCAGCAAAGTCTCTCGGCTGTAAGTTTTGTGTCTGGGATAGGCAAGACACTCAAAACTTTCAGGGATTGTTGTTGGGATTGCACCTGTAAATCTGGCTCCCTGGTGCTAGTGGGTTTGAATCGCGGCTAGCAACCACTAGCGAGGATTTATATTGTTCAGGATTAGGAGTATTCGGATGGGTAAACAATGTGTCCAACTTCTGCAATTTGGCCTTATCTTGTTCTCTCTTCTCCTTTTGTCTTCATTTCGTTGCTCCACTTTTGTATTTATATGAACTCCCACTTATTTTGGATCCGTATGCTTGCTCGGGACGAGTGACAGATCTTCACCTTAAGTAGTGAGTAATGATCGTCCATGTTGGTGGAGGACTGATGATGACGATTTTACCTAAAATACATTTGGAGAATATATTGGCAATCCATTTGTAAATTTACACATTGTAAAGTTAACTGTGAGCGTGCACATGACACCATCCATGCAACAAACACTTGTATGCAATATTCTGAATAAACTTACAAGACCAAAGCCAATCTTTTCAAATTTCTGCTACCTATGACTGAACAGACATGGGACAACTTAACCTATATAAACACAAGCACTGATTGTAATAATGCAGGTATAGTTTTTCCTGCACTCTGGGAAACAATGCATGTCAGTCCCCTGTGCAGAAGGATTGGAAAACTTATTTGCTATCCTAATGCCCCCCCAGCCTAAATGGACACTCTGCCCCAAGTTTTTTCACTACCTGTCTCTCATGCCAATTTCCAGCAGTGCCAAGATGGCTGCCTTTTTGGCTTCACACAATAGTTTTGTTTCAGGCATTATGTGAGAGCTAACAACTTGTGCTACAGCTTGAATGTAAACAGGAAGCCACTCTCGGCCTTTGCATGTGCAGTGCTGCTTATGACATGGAATGGCCTCTTACATACCCTGGGATACAATTAAGCTGAAGCATGTCAAATAGAACATGAAGTATGATGTAATCAGCTGCATTTTTTGTCGTGTTCATTGTATTTTTCAGGTAATATACCTTTAGTGGTACCAGGCATTAAAATTAACGAGGAATTGAAGAAACCAAGGGTAGTCGAATAATTTTTTCCATGACTGTAAATAAATATATGTCCTTCATAATACCATCCAACTACCAACTCTGTTAAACGTGTTAAAATGCTTGTAGCACTAAACGCCTAAAAAAAAATGATAAAGAAACTAAAACATTTGAAGACTGTGATAAAGCCTATCTAACAGGATGGGGTTAGTTTCTGTAACTTCCTCTAAAACCTTGGTTTTCTTGCCTCTTCCCCCTGCTACAGTGTTTGGTAGAGGCATACCTACACTCTCCAGTAATACTAATTTATTTATTTATTGCCACTGTAGGGCATCCCTATAACTCACCTAGTTGAGCGGGCGACCTATTCTCCTTCTCCCCATTCTTCTTCCGCCGTTCCTGTCTATCTCTACTGCTCTAAAATAAAGGCAAAAAGACCCCAAAAATATATATTTAAAAAAAAAAAAAAAAAGGTTGCCACTGTAAATGACAAAGATCACAGGATGTGGGTTTTTCTGCAGCTTCCTGTATGAGCTGAAGGCTGCTGGGAACCTTTGTTTTCTCGCCTCTTTACCCTGCTGCAGTGCTTGGTAGAAGCTTGTGTGGCATCTGGGAGATTTTCAGTAAAACATTAATTCATGAATGTTGTAAGATACAGTTTAATACTGTAACTACACTCTCCAGTAACACTATATTTATATAGAGTTGCCACTGTAAATTACAAAGAGCATTTAAATTATATAAACTGTAAATTGCAGACATGAACCATAATAAAAAATATGTGTTTCACAATACCATCAAAGTACCAACTCTGTTTAACATGTGAGAATGCATGAAGCACTGAAACACGTAAAACAAAGGATAAAGAAAAGTTAGATTTTTATGGACTGGGAACATTTATTAGCAAGCAGTAATATATGAGAAACTAGTCCACTAAATATATTTTAGAAACTGAGAAAAAAGAAATTCACTCAATGTAAAATGAATGAATAAATAAAATAAACGTAAAACTGACCTATCTTGGGGCATCAGTGTAAAGTCATCAATAATAAACGTAATAATAATAAACCTGAGAAGAATACTACGAACGAGTTTGACATAGCCAGGCTTT